GGGGGGGGGGGGGGGTAAATTTTAGAACCCTCCGGCTTATAACATCCAAATTGTATAAACACCTTGAAATGTTAGTAGTTTAAATATTATCACGTAATTGCGTATAATCGCAGTCAACATGGGCTGAAAAGTAAATTCTCGACTGGGAACTGTCGGATTCCCCCCTTCCTAAGGGAGAAAAAAAGGCGGGGGGGGGGGCATTAGGTGGTGTTCAGGTGGAGATTCGTGAACATTTCCTTGAACATTGTGTACTCTGATTGTGTACTCTGATTGTGTACTCTGATTGTGCCTTTTGCGATGAAAATGGTGAAATTATAAAGTTTAATCCCTATTATCTCACCGAATAAACACAATTCTGAAGTCCAGGTTGACCAGATTTGGGTTGAGCCCTGCCGGGGTGGCGTTGTGGTTATTTTGGGGGTCAGCCTTCAAGCCGGGCCTCTCTTTTGATGGATGTGAACCCCCCCCCTGGTCAAAGCCCCCAGGACACAGGTCGAAATGCTCCAACTGTGATGGTGAACATTGCTGCACAGCAAACGTTACTTCATTGTATCATGTACAACTTAGGGGAAAAAAGCTACTCTCGGAAATCTTCATCTTACTTAAGGGCATGTGTATAATCCTAAATGGAGAGAGAGAGAGATATACAGAGAGAGATTCAGAGAGAGAGAGATACAGAGAGAGAGATACAGAGAGAGAGATACAGAGAGAGAGATACAGAGAGAGAGAGATACAGAGAGAGAGATACAGAGAGAGAGATACAGAGAGAGAGATACAGAGAGAGAGATACAGAGAGAGAGATACAGAGAGAGAGATACAGAGAGAGAGATACAGAGAGAGAGAGACAGAGAGAGAGATACAGAGAGAGAGATACAGAGAGAGATACAGAGAGAGAGATACAGAGAGAGAGATACAGAGAGAGAGATACAGAGAGAGAGAGATACAGAGAGAGAGATACAGAGAGAGAGATACAGAGAGAGAGATACAGAGAGAGAGAGATACAGAGAGAGAGATACAGAGAGAGAGATACAGAGAGAGAGATACAGAGAGAGATACAGAGAGAGAGATACAGAGAGAGAGATACAGAGAGAGAGATACAGAGAGAGAGAGATACAGAGAGAGAGATACAGAGAGAGAGAGATACAGAGAGAGAGATACAGAGAGAGAGAGATACAGAGAGAGAGATACAGAGAGAGATACAGAGAGAGAACCGGAATAACAGAAACATAAGGACTAAATAGGTGTGTCATGCCGACACCACAATATGGGTATGTAGTTCTATATGTACTATATCAGGTGTGCAGTTGGTGAATTGTGGTGTTTCTAAAACAGTCGATAGTGGTCACTTGGATAGATATATCCGGACTGCTCTGAATGTTTCAGCACATACTGGCGGCTGATGGCATTAACAGTCAGGATGACGTCATGTCATTGATTTGGGTTTGTTGACTGAATGATGTGGTCATGATGTGGCATGATGTGGTCGTGATGTGGTCGTGGTGGGGTCATGATGCGGTCATGATGCGGTCATGATGTGGTCATGATGTGGTCGTGATGTGGTCATGATGTGGTCATGATGTGGTCATGATGCGGTCATGATGTTGTCATGATGTGGTCATGATGTTGTCATGATTTGGTCATGATGTTGTCATGATGTGGTCATGATGTGGTCATGATGTTGTCATGATGTGGTCATGATGTGGTCATAATGTTGTCATGATGTGGTCATGATGTGGTCGTGATGTGGTCATGATGTGGTCATGATGTGGCCGTGATGTGGTCATGATGTGGTCATGATGTGGTCGTGATGGGGTCATGATGTGGTCATGATGTGGTCATGATGTGGTCATGATGTGGTCATGATGTGGTCGTGATGGGGTCATGATGTGGTCATGATGTGGTCGTGATGTGGTCGTGATGTGGTCATGATGTGGTCATGATGTGGCCGTGATGTTGTCATGATGTGGTCATGATGTGGTCGTGATGGGGTCATGATGTGGTCATGATGTGGTCATGATGTGGTAATGATGTGGTCACGATGTGGTCGTGATGGGGTCATGATGTGGTCATGATGTGGTCGTGATGTGGTCGTGATGTGGTCATGATGTGGTCATGATGTGGTCGTGATGGGGTCATAATGTGGTCATGATGTGGTCGTGATGTGGTCGTGATGTGGTCATGATGTGGTCGTGATGTGGTCATGATGTGGTCATGATGTGGTCATGATGTGGTCGTGATGTGGTCATGGTGTGGTCTTGATGTGGTCATGATGTGGGTTAATTAAGCGGCGCTAAGTCATATGCATCGGAAATGATACGTCTATCTTGGTGGAAGCCTTGTCACAATATGGCGCTTCCTGTCACATTAAGGCGTTTTTGTCACAATATGGCGCTTCCTGTCACATTTATGGCGTTTTTGTCACAATATGGAGCTTCCTATCACATTATGGCGTTTTTGTCACAATATGGCGCTTCCTGTCACATTTATGGCGTTTTTGTCACAATATGGCGCTTCCTGTCACATTTATGGCGTTTTTGTCACAATATGGCGCTTCGTGTCCCAATATCATCTACTAGTCATAGTGTGGTGTCTATCGCATTATAGCGCATCTGTCACAATATGGCGCTTGGTGTCCCAATATCATCTACTAGTCATAGTGTGGTGTCTATCGCATTATAGCGCATCTGTCTTATTACGGTGCACTTGTCATACTTTTGGACCGCTGTCACATATTGCATCCCTGACACATAATGGCGCCCCTGTCACGTTATTGCGCACCTGTCATATTACGACGTCCCTATCAAATGTATGCCACATTTATATTAGGGAAGCATTAATTTGAAACGTACGGCACTAGTCACGAGGTAAAGAGAAGTAAAGGAAAGAAAATGTGGGGTGGGGGGGAAATGAATTATTTTTTTAGAATAACACTTTTGAATAGTTGACACTTACTGTTAGGTCTCGTCGATAAGCTTATTGTTACTCTGAAAGGCTATTGTCTCAGGCTATAAACTAGACATAACCTGAAAATACCTTACACTTAGGGCATTATCAAATTTTTTTTTTATATATCGCCTATAACAAGAAATAGTCAACAGTCAAGCGTCTTTCACTTTGTAAATCTTTGTTAAAATTTTTTTTTTAAAAATGATTTTTACTTAGAATAGACGTTAATCTGGAAGGCTACTGCACTAACAGCTAATCATAACGCCACTCAACATAATATGCTAACGATTTTAGTTAGACAGGAGAAAAACAAAGTCTTTTACCAAAATATTGATTTTATTACCTGTCCACATTCATGCTATACCATACAATTGTGTCCATCATTTGAACTCAAATGATTTGTATTGTTTGTAACGGGGGGTGGTGGACCGAATACTACGTCACGAGAGAGCCGATTCCCCCTAGGTAAGTGAAATATCTTGCATGAATTTATTCAGTTCCAGGTGTAGGGGGCGCTGCATTGTTATAGTTTGTATTTTTTTTTTCTTTGCTGGCATCCGTCCGTCACAATGTGACAATGGAGTGGGCTTCGGAGGACGAAAACCACATGGCCTGGCATTATTCTTCAAGGATTATGAGCTGGTTCCCAACAGCAAATCGCCTCTCTCCATGCCGCTGGACAACCCAAGGGAACATCATTTGGATGACACAGTTTGGCACCAGTGACGTCGCAGGAGTTGCCGGAATGTTTCATTGTACCAAAGTTATCCGCCTTTCGGGACTCCATCTCCCGGTTTGATTTCAGAGTTTCCATCTCCTAGATGAGTTGCCGTCCAAGGTTAACGAGTCCAATCCACTCGGGGTGCTGGTGGTGTTTTTGCTTGGCCGGGTTCTGGAATTGAACTCTAGACCACCAACTTGAGATATGCTCAGTTTAGTCCACTTGGCCACCAAGCACCAAGTTTGTATACAGTTTAAGTTATTCCTGCCACTTGATTATTTAGTTGTTCCAGTGGATGTCTTCTACGATCTATTTGCCCGGTGTGATACGATCTATTTGCCCGGTTTGATACGATCTATTGGCCCGGTGTGATACGATCTATTGGCCCTGTGTGATACGATCTATTGGCCTGGTGTGATATGATCTATTGGCCCTGTTTGATACGATATATTGGCCCTGTGTAATACGATCTATTTGCCCTGTGTGATACGATCTATTGGCCCGGTTTGATACGATCTATTTGCCCGGTGTGATAAGATCTATTAGCCCTGTGTGATACGATCTATTTGCCCTGTGTGATACGATCTATTGGCCCAGTTTGATACGATCTATTTGCCCGGTGTGATACGATCTATTAGCCCTGTGTGATACGATCTATTGGCCAGGTGTTGTTTTCTGAGTATCTACCACCATTACTTCTAGGAAAGATAAGCAAAAAGTTCCTCTTACGTGACAGAGATTAGGAGAGTGTTCGTTTGGAAAATCCACTATATTTAGAGTCGTAACAAATGTCAGTACAAAGTTTGCTTTGATATAAATAGAACATATTCTGTAAGTAATTATTTAGTTAACAGTTAGGATCCTCTCCATATTGTATCCACATGTCTCCTTAGACTTGCTTAGGTATATAAGAATGAAGGGATTCAGTGATTCACCCTCCTTGCCCTGCCTCATTTTCTGTCTCGGGTTGATCCTGTAGTATAGGCCAAAACGTGCCAAAGTGTCCTCGTTTTATAGCCATTTTAATTGTTTCTATAGTATAGTAGTTACTATCCTAGTGTCTCATTTTTATTTATACTTAGTTTACATGTTTTTAATAATTGTAAAGCGCTTAGAGCTTTAAGGTAAGCGCTATATAAAAATGCCTAAATAAATAAATACAGTGGTCGAGAATACGTTGACTCCGTAGACTTACTCATTTGGGACGAATGAAGTGACTCCTAAACTTTGAATTATATTTCCAGTAAATGAAAATGTCCACGCTGGCGTTCACCGACTGAATTAGTTCTCTTATAATATTGCTGGTAAAATACACAGCACTGTAGCGGCCACCACTGTAGAAGTCAGGCACACTAATCAGTGTCATATTAAAGACAACTTTTGGCATGTTGCACAAACTGTAGACTACGGCTATGAGCAGCATCTGTTGAACAACTTGAAGCTCTTTGCCAACCACCTTGGCTGATTCAGGATCAGTTACAGTTTTAACATTTCGTCGAACAAGATTTCCAATCATAGAAATACTTTTTTGAGTGTTCATAGCAGTATTTCTAGAATGCTTGTGACGAAAAATAGAAGCTTTTCGGAGGTACCTGGCCATAATGACGACGCAAAGACCGACTATTATTTGAGAGGCCAGTGGTAAGATTATGTCTCTTGTTCCATAAATAATGTCCTTCATCAACACTCTTTCCGGAAAGAACAGCAGAGTTGGTCTTGTTGTGTTGCTATTGGAGTCAATTGGAGGGGGAATACCCGCTAACGCTACCACCAAAATGGCGGACGTGATGCTCACAAGGGTAAATATTGATATGATGATGGCGGTGGTTTGTCTTGAGATCAAATTTCTGTATTTTAAAGGCTGGACAACGGCCAGACATCGGACCACGGTGATGAACGTCGTCACGAGCATTGAGATGGCGTAGAAGCTACTTCCGGTGCTGGCGAAGACCAAGAAGATCGCTTCCGGATCAACAGGGAACCAAACCGTGTAGAGTGAGAGTTCCTCAGCACTATGGAGCATAAAGCTGATGGTGTTGATCAACGCTGAGATGAGGTAGAAGAGATCGGACGCTGCCAACGACAGCAGGGACAGATTCACGCCGTCTGAGATTCCAAGACGGAAAAACGTCTTGATGCATAAGACGTTGCCTACAGCACCAAGAACAGTGATTGGTGCTAAGAATATGCCGACGACAATGACAGTCCAAGCCTGCTTCTCATCGCTCGCTGTCAAGATTACGCTATACATCTCATGAGTGTTTCCTTGTAAAGTGTCCAGGTTGTCATTCGTACTGTGTGCCTACTGAAAATGTCTGCAGAGGGGAAATAGAAATAATAAAATTTGTCATTCACTATAATTTGAAGTTGCTCTTTTCAATTTAAGGTAGATTTTAGTATTTTTCCGAAAAAATGTTCTTAAATTTAAAAAAAAAAAGAAAAACATGAATCTTAAAGGGCGAGAATTGGAAAAAACTAGATCAGCAATTTTGCAATTAAAGAAAAATAGGAGTTGAAGGAGCTGAAACTGCAAACCAAAATCAGAATCTTTAATACAAATGTCAAAACTGTCCTACCATCTGGAGCAGAAACTTGGAAAACAACGCGAGCATTACCCAGAAAGTACAGACCTTCATAAGCACATGCCTTAGAAAGATCCGAAACATCACTTTGCCAAATACAATCACTAACAAAGAACTTCTTTAAAGGACTTACCAGTGACCATTGATGAAGATATCATAAAGAAAAGATTGAGGTGGATAGGGCACACTCTCCGAAAGGGCATACGCTCCGAAAAACCCCAGATAGTATCCCCAGACAATCGCTAACATGGAATCCAAAGGGAAAAAGAAAGAGAGAAAGGCCAAAGACTACCTGGAGACGCGAGCTAGAGGCAGACACACAAAATATGGGATACACCTGGAAGCACCTGGAAAGGGACGCACAGGACCGTGATGAATGGAAAATTCTTTTGGACGGCCTATGCCCCAGACTGGGTAAAAGGGCATACAAATAATAAGAAGATAAGCTATTCTTAACCAATGTCAGTTGATAAGCTCGTCTTAACTAATGGCAGTTGATGAGATCGTCTTAGCTAATGTCACTTCATTATTTAATACTGAATTTATCCATTGAGCCTCTTCATTCGTAAGCAAGTCTTAGGAGAGATGTGGATACAATTGGAATAGAAAATATTTGTTTACTAATTGTTGAAATTACAGAAAATTGCCAAAAAAAATCTCGACAATGTATTATTATGATTTTGTTTTCGTTTCAATTGTCCACAAAATATTTTTAAAGTTATGTTTGTATAAAGATCAACACAAGTATACATAATGAAAACATTCCTAGAAAATATTTCGGCTACATAATTTTAAAAAAAAAACTCCGTTAAAGTTTTGAGATTCAAAATTTAAAAATCATTTTCTATAAAGTCTAGTTCAAATACAAACGTCTGTATCGCTTTAGATTTCAAAAATATCTTTCAGCCCAGTCAGGTAGTATTCCCCCGATAAATCACCCTTTAAACACTTTTTACTTTAGAAACTCCATACTTAGATGCCGCGTTTTGCATATTAGGTAAGATAAGATTCTTCTATTGATCCAAACAAATGAAATTGTTTTATGATTGCATTAAACATTTTCAGCACATAAATAAAACAATTTGAACACAAGACACTTATAATAAATGAGCTCAAACAGCCATTCAAGGAGTTCTCTTAGCCAACTCAGCGACTTATTAGTTCTCATTAAGATGCGTGACTTCAGAGGGAGCACGCCGGTAAATTCGTTCAGATTGGGGGACAAAAGAATTTTTGTATCATTCAGTCCTCGCCTTGTTGGAAAGAATTCGTCCCGAACGGCCCGATCCTAAGTATCTGTGATGAAGAGGGTGGGATGCATCATCCAAAGTGTGTTTAGTTTTACAAAAAACATCTTTCTTCAAACAGTTCTTCAAGTAAAGGATGTTTAGTATGTGTTGTGTTCCCAGCTTTCTTGATTAGTCGGTTTATGCGGTGTTTAATATCAGACGTTAAATTCCCACATCAGCAGGTAATACTGAAATTAAGGAGCCTTCCAATTGTTGCACTGTAGAATAAGTTAGCGACTTATATATAGAGACAAATAGCATTTTTACAGTCGTATAATTCAACAAGATATGTTGATTGTATAATGGTTTACTTACTCATCGGTGCTTGGGTGAGTGAGCAAATCTGGCATATTTAGACATCCAGTACCATATGACACATATATATGTATGTCAAGTATATTATACATTGTTGTGTAATAATATACATATATGGTATGCAAACTATTGGAGCACATAATCGTAAGCGCAGTCATGGAGCATCTTTAAAGCTAAAATATACTCTATGACTGTCAACATGGCTTCCGAGTCAATAGATCATGTGAGTCCCAGCTTTTTGAATTTGTAGAAGACTTTTGACCAACCTAGAGAACAGCAAGCAAACTGACGTGCTGGTGATGGACTTCTTAAAGGCATTTGACCGTGTCAACCATAGTTTGGTTCTACACAAACTTCAGAGATATGGGATCCAAGGCACTATTAAAACATTGATCCCTAGCTTCCTCAGCGACCAATGCCAAGCAGTGCTGGTGTTAACTAAGGAGTCCCTCAGGGATCAGTGCCAGGCCCCTGTTTATTCCTAGTGTTAAATGACCTATTAATGACCTACCCGAGAAACTGACATCCTAAGCAAGACTGTTCGCTGATGGCACAGCAGTGTATAGGACGATCGCCAACAGATCTGACTAGGACCAGCTACAACAAGATCTCAATCGGTTAGGTGAGTGGGAGATGAGCTGGGACATGGAATTTCATCCTGCAAAGTGCCAGACACTGTCAGTCTCTAGACGTTGTACTCATCTACACTACCAATACGAACTGCATGGCCATATACTTGAGCCAGTTTCCTCCATAAAGTACCTAGGTGTTAGCATTCAAAGAGAGATCCACTGGGAAGAGTATATTAACATTGTGCTGTAACAGGCAATCAACAGGATCTCAATCGGTTAGGTGAGTGGGAGATGAGCTGGGACATGGAATTTCATCCTGCAAAGTGCCAGACACTGTCAGTCTCTAGACGTTGTACTCATCTACACTACCAATACGAACTGCATGGCCATATACTTGAGCCAGTTTCCTCCATAAAGTATCTAGGTGTTAGCATTCAAAGAGAGATCCACTGGGAAGAGTATATTAACATTGTGCTGTAACAGGCAATCAAGATCCTGGGGGTCTTAAGGCGTAATCTAAAGATCGGCAACTCCAGTGTGAAAGAAAGAGCCTATAAAGGCTTTTTTCGTCGGGTTTTAGCATGTTCATCTTCGATCTGGAACCATTTACCTAGAAGGGGATTGACAGGTTGGAGTCGGTCCAGCGACGAAATACTTCTAGTGTTGGCAGCATGTTGAAAACACTAGGCTGGTCACCATTGGAGGAACGACTACTATCCAGGCTCTCCATGATGTACAAAATAAATAATGGGCTGGTCCACTGTTCCAGTATTAAACATAAACTCTCCCTTGTCCCCCATAGACAGTGACGAAGCCATGACAGGCAATTCCTGTTCATACCAGCAAGAAGCCAGTATAGGAATTGCTCATTCCTGCCAAACAAAATTAGGGACTGGAACAAGCTTCCAAAAGGAACAGTTGAGGCGACAACTCTTGACACATTTGTGTCTATTGCTTCAAGCCTTCCAACCCCTAGTGTATGATATCCTCACAAAGTATAACATGCAACCAGTGAAATATCTTCATCAAAACCAGGCACAGAAATTTTGCTAATCCCCTTTACCATGCATAGGAACCATAATGATCAATAAATTGATCGTGTGCCATTAATATATAGAAGAAGAAGAGAATTGGTACTAAAGAGAAAGACGTCCACTGGAACTAGACGCAAAGTCATCCAGTAGAAATAGGGACAGATACAATTAGTGGAACTAGAGACATATACATCCACTTGCACTAGAGAAGAAGACATATGCCCAACGAAACTAGAGACAAAGACATACCTCCAGCTCAACGAGAGACAAGGACGTACGTCCAGTGCAACTAGAGAGAAGGACGTACGTCCAGTGCAACTAGAGACAGAGACGTTCGTCCAGTGCAACTAGAGACAAAGACGTACGTCCAGTGCAACTAGAGACAAAGACATACGTCCAGTGCAACTAGAGACAAAGACGTATGTCCAGTGCAACTAGAGACAAAGACGTACGTCTAGTGCAACTAAAGTCAAAGACATACATCAAGTTAAACTAGAGACAAAGGCATCCACTTACACTAAAGGCGAAGACAGTAAGTGGCAGTAGCGACAAAGATATCAAGTGGAACAATCGACATAGACACCCAGTGCCACTAGACACGAAGACATCCACGGGAACAACTAAAGCATCCAGCGGCATGAAAATCTTACACTTTATACAAACTATAACAATGCAGCGCCACCTACACCTGGAACTGAATAAATTCATGCAAGATTGTTCCCTAACCTGGCGGAGTCGGCTCTCTTGGGATGTAGTGTTCGGACCACCGGCCCCGTTAGAAACATTACAAATCATTTGAGTTCAAGTGATTGAAACAAGTGTGCCGGATTACCACCCAGTCCACACAAATGTTCGCCCATCATTTGACAAACAAGTAGAAGCTTTTGGTCGGCCCCACCGGCCGACGGCCCTAACCAGGATGTGGACGGGTAATGACATCAATATTTTGATAAAGGATTTAGTTTTTCTCTTGTCTAACTAAAACGGTTGGCATTTGTCGAGTGACGTTATGATTACCTGTTAGTGCAGCACGCACTAGACTAATTGAAGCGGCCTTCCAGATTAGCTTCTAGTCCAAATAACAGCCTTTCTCATTTTTAAAAATCTTGCCTTATTAGTTGTAGGCTCTTGCTTATTGACTGTAATGGGTAATTTATACAAAAATAAATTTCGATAACACCCCTAGTGGTAGGGTAATTTCGTGTTTCTGCCTAGTTTATGACCTGAGACAACAGCCTTTCAGAGTAACCTTACACAGTAAGTGGTAACTATTTAAAAAACATTTACACCTCTACGGGTGATATGCTTAAATTCTTAAAATAGAATTGTTTTGCCCCCACCCCCCTCTTCTCCTTACTCCCTTTGACCT